AACTGTCCCGAGGAGCTACCACACCCGTCATAAATCACAGGAGGCCTGTGGAGGGGCTGGACAAAGCGTAGGGGTGTTGAGCAGTAGGGGGGATTGTGCGCTTGTGAAGCCCTTGATTGCTGTAATGGAAAGGGTGGAGCGAGACTCATCTTCCTACCCTTTCAATGATTAGTCACAAAACCTTGGGGAATCTTGCCACATCTCCCCAGGACCTCGGGGCCCCTACTTTGGAGACCTTTAGTCTGGTGGTTAGACTTAGAATTAGGAAGACTTGGGTTCAAAATCCGCCCAGGCTTCCGTTAGCCGAAGGATCCGGGGCTGGCTCCCAGAGCCTGAGACAGTTCTCTGAGATTATAAATTGCAGAGCAATTGCAGAGGGGAGTATCTTCACTGAATTCCCTACCGCGATGAAATCACTTGTGTGGTCCAAAAAAAGAAAAAAGAAAAATCGAGGATAATAATAGCACATATCTCAAAGGCCATTGTAAGGATCAAACCAGAAAACATATGCAAAGCCTTTGCCAAGAATCAAGCTTTATATAAATGTAAGCCGGCATTAGTATTAGCGTACTTGCACACAGTAGGTACGCAGTAACTACTTTTTCATCAGTCTGTTGATCCAGTTACAGCCACTGGCAACTGCAGAACTCCAGATTCTAGGAGTGTTTCTTCAGCCTGGTATAATTTTATCATCTATCTCCAAACACACAGTGACAGTATCTCACAGACTTCACCTCTCTCTCTTCCGATTCGGGATAAAATGTGTCCCGTGCGCTCTCCCTCCTCCTCTCCGCTCCCCACCAGCCTCAGTTGCCATCTTCAGCCCTGTCCGCTAGTCATTTGGCTCTAAGGGCCTCTGATGGCAGCCTCGTTCTGGGGTGCCACTCCCTGAATGTGGAAAATAATGCTTAGGGCTTTTCATCTTCAAAGCACCTTCCGGATAAACAAGCATTAACTTAGCCGGACACTGCCCTGTGCAGCTGGCCACTCTCATCATTCTTCCTCATCTCACTTCACAGAGGGACAGACGACAAGCACAGTATGAGACCCAACGACTGAGCAACGTGCCCAAGGTCACAAGGTGGGCCAGGAGAGCGAAGGAACATCTCCCAACCCTTGCACCCCAGACTCGAATATTCTACCCTCCTCCCCCACAATTCAGAGATAGTGGTAGCAATCGGCAGATTTCTCTATTTGGGTTAGGCTGATCCCTTGTTCAGCCGGGCTTTTGTCTGGAGATCTTTTTTGGTCTCCTACAATCATCAGAGGTCTTCTCTCACTTGGGGCAGCTAGGTGGCGCCATGGTGGATAGAGTGCTGGGCCTGGAGTCAGGAAAACTAATCTTCCTGAGTTCAAATCTTATCTCAGACACTTCCTAAACTGTGTGACCCTGGACAAGTCCCTTAACCCTGTTTGCCTCAGTATCCTCATCTGTAAAATGAGTTGGAGAAGGAAATGGCAAACTACTTCAGTATCTTTGCCAAGAAAACCCCAAATGAGGTCATGGAGAGTCAGATATGACTAATCCATAAAACAACTTCTCCCACTTCCTCCTAGCCCCCAACATTATTTTGTATTTACTTTCTATAGGAGAGGCAGTGTGGTACAATGAAGAGAGCTGGTCCTATAGCTAGGAAGACCTAAGTACACATCTGACAAATACTGACTGTGTGACCCTGGGAAAGTCACTCAACCTCCAAGTACACTAGATAGCTCTCTACGGCTATAAATAGCAGAGAAGGTACTGATCTGCACTGGCAGAAGGCATTTGCTAAGTCAGGAATTACCTGTACCCATGAAATCACAGGTCTAGTCTCTCTTCTTGCTTTAAGTAAAATATACTTAAGTTCATATTTCATATGTGATTAGATCTGTGCCTAAGTTATATGTCTCCCCAGCTTTTCTTTTTCTTTCTTTCTTTTTTTTTGGCTAGGCAATGGGGTTAAGTGACTTGCCCAGGGTCACACAGCTAGTGTTATGTGTCTGAGGCTGGATTTGAACTCAGGTCCTCCTGAATGCAGGGCCGGTGCTCTATCCTCTTCTCCACCTAGCTGCTCCTTAAGTTGTATGTCTCAATAACAGACTATGTGTTCCCAAGGGCAGGGATTGTTTTTTTATTTTTATCTTTGTAAACCTAGAACTTAACACAATGCCTTGCAAACAGTCAGCACTCAATAAATACATGAGTTAAATTGAACAAAATTGTCTCCACATGAAATCAAGCTTCAGGGTCTACCCAGTATCCCTCCATCAGCTTTTCAAGCATATTTGGCTTTCTTCTCCTCCCACACCCTGAACTAAACCCAGTAACACTTCTCAGATAGGATCGATGCTGGACACTGGAAGGAGTTTGTCTTCATTGTGAAGATCTAAGGCTCTGCCTAGATCAAGCCGCAACAAACTTTTCATGGCCCTTTGATATGCTGAGAGGCAAAAACCAGGGGTAGACTTGAATTTTCCCATTTTTTTGTCCTCTGCTTCCTTTCCATTTCCTAATCAATCTATGAACAAGTATTTACTGGGCACCCCATCCAGTTCCACCAACAGGGGGGATTATAAGACAATAATTGCTCACAAGCAGGGCCTTCCAGGCTAGTTATGGATGAGGGGTGGGTGGGAGGGGAAAGGCAAGATATGGACCCAGGCATGAGGTAGTGTGATATCACAGAAAGAGCTCTGCATATGGAGTCTGTTTGTTGTCTAAGACACTTGCTATCCTTGTGACATTGCTAAGTCCTTTACTCTGAGCCTTGGTTTCCTTCTCCATAGAATGGGAATAATGCTGTACTGGGTTGTAAGGAAAACACTTTGCAAACCTTAAAGTACTATGGAAACGGGAATTATTACTAATAAAGAACAGTACATAATAGTGTTCAATAAAGTGATTGTTCTCCCTAATTTTGAAGGTTGCTTCAAAATTATCCCTCACAAAATCTTCATTCCCATTCCATTTCCCTGACAAATTCCTTTCCCTCCTTTCATTTGACACAGCTCCATCCCCTACAATTTCCCTGGAGGCTCCTGAAGTTAGGGCCAGGATCTTCTTGGTTCCAAAAGGAGGTATAAATTCAAAGACTTAAAAGACCTCTGAGTTGCGTGGGTTTTTTAAATAAACAAATTTAGCTCCTCTCCTCTCTGATGTGTTTTGCCAATGGGCAGGAAGCCTAGAGTAGCAGCAGCCTGCTCTGGCTGTTCCTCCCATTCACTTTCCTCCCTGGCACCTCCTTCCTTTTCTTCTTCAATACAGAACTCTTCTAGAGTTTCTTCAATCCCAACCCTCTGTGCCAATTGGTGGTCACCTCTGCCAACTGCCACGGAACCTTCCATCCCACCCATTCCATCATCCTTACCCTTCCCCCACCCTCCAACCTCTCAAGGGAGCTCTTTGTGTAGCAAAGAAGGAAAAGAAAAAATATCCTCCATCTCTACAGTTTACCACCTGGGGCAAGTAATTTCCAGCTACCTGTCACCAAGTGCCTCCTATACACACGTCATTGGATGTCCTACGTTCATCTTAATCTCAACATGAATTTGCGATCTTTCCTTTCAACTCTTCCCCTTTTCCTAACTTCTGTATTTCTGTAGAGGGCACCACTATTCTTCTGGTCAGCCAGGTATACAGCCTCAGCATCACTCTCAACTCTTCCCTATCCCTTGAACCCAAGTTTTGTTGAACCCAGTGCCTAGTACATAGTAGGTGTTTAGTAAATAACTTTTGATTGTTAATTGGTCTACAGTATCTTTGGAATCCATTCCCCTTCTCTCAACTAATCCAAGCCTTCATCAGCTCTCACTTCATCTTCCCAATAGCTTCCTAATGGGTCACCTGACTCAAGTCCCTTCTGTTCTCCAATCCATCTTCCACACAGTTGCCAAACTGATATTCCTAAAGCACAGATCTCACCATGTCACTCCTTTGATTAAAGGAATTCCATTCTTCTTCTTAAGATATAGTACAAACTCTTCTGATTGACTTTTAAAGCCCTTCACAATACGGCACCAGTCTACGTTTCCAGGTTTATGACCCATTACTCTTCATGTAATCTATAGTCCAAACACACTGGCTTACTTGTTGCTCCTTATGCACTATATTCCATCAGACGGTTGTCCTTGCTTTCAGTTCAGCCACCACAACCATCATTAAGGGGAGCAACTCCTGTAGAGAAGGAGCCAACATCCCTACCATCACCAACTGCCAACCAACTGCCATCAGCTGGGCAGCCAGTTCAGCCTAACTGAAACAGCAAGGAACCCTGAGGAAAAAGGAAGTGACATGTGTCAGATGGGTGAAACCACTGACTATCATCTCCCTTCACACACTGGTGGAGATAGCCCAGGATTCAAGAGCCCAGAAGTAGCAGCACTCCATCTAGAGCACTAGCCCTTATCGTCAGCCCAGCCCCCCACAGTCATCATCCAAGGACTCAACCCTTGTGGAGATGGACCCTGGCAATTATCTCTGCCGATCCTTTGGTCCAGTCCCTACCTGCTCAGTGGCTGCTGCTACTGAAGACCAGGAGAGGAAAGATCTCATGACCAAGGTCTTTGGCATGGCCAAATAGCTCAACACCAGAAATAGACTTTCGGTGGCACAGTGGATAGAGCACAGGCCCCGAAGTCAGGAGTACCTGAGTTCAAATCCAGCCCCAGACCAAACACTTGGCACACTTACTAGCTGTGTGGCCCTGGGCAAGTCACTTAACCTCAATTGCCTAAAAAAAAAAAGAAAAAGAAAAAAGAAATAGACTTTCCCCCCCAATGGAAATGACTTTAAAGAAGATGAATTACCATTTCCTTTGCTGCTGCATCGTAAGGGCCATTGAGTTTTTCCATCTGATTTGCAATAGATTCCTCCTATATGTATTGTCTCTCCTATTAGAATGTGAGCTTTTTGAGAGCAGGGACTCTCTTGCTTTTCTGATAGGTTTGCTTGCTTTTTCAAATAGATTTTTATTGATATCTTTTATTCTTGTATCTTACAGAGTTCCTCCTCTATTCCTCCCTGCTTTCCAGATAGTCATCTCTTAAGACAAAACCAGAGGCCCAGAGAGGGGAAGTACCTTCCCCAAAGTCACATGGTGGAGATACGCTGGAACCAAGATTCTGACCCACCAGGTACTTAGGCAGCACTGTGCAGAGATCACAGTACCTGGAGCCAAAAAGACCTGAGTTCACATCCTTACTACTGAAACACTTACTGAGCTGTGTGATCCTGGGCAAGTCACTGAACCTCTCTGTGCCTCAGTTTCCCCATTTATAAAATGAAGGATGATGTCTCGGGGCTTTCGAGCTTTAAATCTATGATTCTATGAACTACAAATTGTGTCCCACACTATATTGAGTCCTTATACAGGCAGCTAGGTGGTGGAGTGGATAGAGTGCTGGGAAGTCAATTCAAAAAGACCCCAATTCAAATCTGCCCTCAGAAACTTACTAGTTGTGTGTCCCCAGGCATATCACATAACCATTGTTTACTTCAGTTCCCTGAATTGTAAAATGGGGTAATAACAGTACCTACCTCACAGGGCTGTTGTAAAGTGCATATGAGATAATATTTGAAAAGTGCTTAGCACAGGGTCTGGCAAATAGGAGATGCTATAGAAATGGTCATTCCCTTTCCTTTTATATCACAATGCCTCTTCAGGATGCATTGAATAGTACTTCTATAGGGGTCTTTTCACCACCCAGAAACACACACACACACACACACACACACACACACACACACACACACAAACAGTGATATTGTTTTCCACTGTTCTTGGGTGGGTAGTGAGACAGGGAAAAGAAGGCAGGAAGAGGGAAGAACAGCTCCTCACTGGAGTCTATACAAAAGCCAGACTCCAGAAGAAATAAAGGATGCAAGGGATGAGCCCGAGAAGCCGTGTTTCCCCTGATCTGTTATGATTATAAGTAGTATTTGGTGGGAGGAAAACTCTCCTGGAAGTAGACATGGAATATCTTGTTTTATTTTTAATTAAACGGAATTTTTTGGAAGCCAGTCCACTACTTACTGCCAGACTCACAGCCCTAGTTGTATTCATTTCCTTTGATCAGAAAATGGCAGGATGACAAGATTGTCTTCCTTAAAAATAGTCCCAGGGAAGGAGAAATCTATTTGAAGGTGCTTCCTCCCCTTCCTGTGGCAAGTAGAGAACTCATAGTAGAGAGGAAAATTTCGTTTTGCAGAGTCCGATGTCCTAACCTCAGCAACAATTTGGGAAGGCTATTTTTAGGGGTCCTTGTGAGGCTATTTCTCATATACTAACTGAAGCAGGGACTAAAAATGGCTCATACAATATTGTCCAGAATCAAAGGTGAAAGGGTGAGAGGAGTGATATCAGGGCATTGTAAAATGAGGGGGAAGGGTTGTCAGGTGAAAGGGGTCTCAGAAGACATCTCTTCCTGCCTGCACCTCATCAGTAATCCCCTTTACAACACAACTGACAAATGGTCAGTCACCCAGCCTCTTTTTCTTTGTTGGGCAATGGGAGTTAAGTGACTTGCCCAGGGTCACACAGCGAGTAAGTGTTATGTGTCTGAGGCTGGATTTGAACTCAGGTCCTCCAGAATCCAGGGCCAGTGCTCTATCCACTGCACAATGTACCCTCCTCCTGCCCCCGCCTCTTCTTGAACACCCCTAGGAAAGGAAACCTTCATTCCAAGCAGTCCATTCTGTTCTGGGACAGGTCTAATCATTTTACATGAAGCAGGAATCTTTCTACTTCATCTTTTCATCATTGTTTTGCCTTCTGAAGACAAACAGAGCCAACATAATCCCCACTAACTTTAGATACCGAAAACAGCTATCTTGTTTCTCCCTCTCGCCCACTTGCCCACCCACTCAAGTCTTCTCCATGTTAAACAACTCCAGTTCCTTCAACACAAACAAGAAATGCTAACCATCTCTTTTTTTAAATTCTTTTTTATTATGCTGAATTTGAGATCCTATTGTTTTCCTCCAGTATGTAGTTCCTTGAAGGTAGCAACTGTTTCTCATTTTTGTCTGTCTATCCCAGGTGCCTATCATAGAGCCTGGCCCAGTGTGGACATTTAATAAATGTTTTTGTTGAATTTGAACTATCTCACATACTTTTGCACTATCTGCTCCACTTTTACCATCTCTAGCCCAATATCGTTAGCTTTTCATGATCTTGTCTGAGACCTCTCCTCATCTTCTCCTCAACTTATGTTGGAAGGTCCTTGAGGACAGAGTGTTTCTTGGTGTTTCCTATATGTACATGACCAGCCTACATTCAGGAAGTTCCAGAAAGTCAAGAAGGGAAAGTATGCTTTCAATGAGGCTCAGTGAAGGACAACTCCTTTGTTAGACTGTGTGCCTGAGTTTGGGCTTCAGTCACTAGGGTCACTGCATTCTTTCAGCCTCTAGCACAATATACTGTGCACAGTAAGCACTCAAAAATATCATTGATTGATTTACCAGGGACACTGTGTGTTTCATTATTTATGAAATGCCTACTATGTGCAAAACGCTGGCAGGTTCTAAGGAAGTTACGAAGATAGATATGACATTTCTAAACCAGTACAACCGCACTCTCTTCTACACTCAAATCCCTCGCTTCCTTCTCCTATCTTTACTCGCTAGACCTAAGTCTTGGATCATTTCCATCATCCACCTCTTCCAACTGGATCTCGTACAAATTTATGTTATCTGATCTCAACTGGCCATTCACTGAAACAAGACAATACTTCTACTCCTCCCTAACTGATTCTCCATTCCATTTTCCACAATGGCTATTCTGGACCTTTTTTTCTGCCTTTTTAAGCCTCTAACAGTACCTTTTCCTACCCTTTCAACTGATAACCTGGCCTCACAGTTTATAGAAAAAAAAATCTGGCTATATACTGAGAACTCCCTCTTCCCTCTTCCCTCTTCCCCCTTCCTCATCACCTGACAACCCTTCCCCCTCATCTTACTACTTCCTGATTTCCTTTTCCTCCTTTATTCTAGTCTTAGGTGAAAAGATGGCCCTTCTCCTTGCCAAGGCCAACCCCTCTATACATGCACCTTTGATCCCCTTCCATCCCTGTCTTCTACAGTACATTTTTCCCATTATAACTTCCCTTTCTCTAATTGTCAATCTTTCCCTAACTACTGGTTTCTTTGTAGCTTCCTATAAACCCTCCTTCCCAAAACCCTCATTAGAGTCTACCATCCCTGCTTTCATCCTATATCTCTCTTCTCTTTCTCGGCCAAACTACATGAAAAAGCTATCTACACCTCCTGCCAGAGAGGTGATCAACTTAAAATGCAGAGAGTCATACATTTTGGGAAATGGCCACTGTGGAAATCTGCTGTGTTGGACTATGCGTGCTTCTGATTCTGGTTTTGTTTGGGGGAAGTTTCTCCTTTTACTCAGTGGGGCAGAGGAAGAGGAAAGTGGTAGGGAAAATAGACTATAAATGTGTACGAAAATAAGGAAAAAAAGAAAAAAAAGAAAAAGCCATCTACAGTTGGTATCTCCACTTCCTCTCCTCTCATTCTTATTAACTCCTTTTATACTAGCATCTAGTCTCATCACTCAACTAAAGCTGCTCTCTCCAAAGTTATCAACAACCTCCTAAATCCCCCAATCTGAGGACCTCTTTCCAATTCTTATCCTCCTTGACATCTCTGATGCATTTGACCCCTATCTCCTGAATGGTCCCTCATCCTTGAGTTTTCAGGATTACACTCTCTCCTGATTCTCTTCCTACCCATTCCTTCTCAGTTTCCTTTATTGATTCACCATTCTTGTGACACCTATTAACTGTGGGTATGCTCCAAACCTCTCTCTCCTGGGCCCTCTTTTCTTTTCTCTCCACACTTTCTCTCTTAGAGATATCATCGGCACCTAAGTGGTTCAAATGTCATCTCTATACAGATGACTTATTTATACATCCTTTCCTACACTCTTCACTAAGCTCCAGTCTTGCATCACCAACTACCTATTAAACAGTTCAAATTGAATGTCCCACAGGCAGCTCAAACTCAATACATCCGAAGCAAAAGTCTTTACCTCTTTCCTCCTCTGAGCCCAGCACCTTCCCAATTTCCCTATTAGTTGGGGGTACTACCATTCTAGTCACCCAGATTTGCAACCTCAAGGTCATCCTCACTCTCACTCAAACCATATGTCCAATTAGTCACCAAGTCTTGACATTTCTATAGCCATTACAACTCTCACCTCTGACCCCTTTCCCTCCACTCACATAACCACCACTCTAGTTCAGGACATCATCGTTTCTCACCTAGATTATTTCAATACTTTCCTAATCAGTCTCCCTACCTCAAGGCTGTCCCCACTACAATCCACTGTTGCCAAAGGGGTTTTCCTCAGGTGCTGCTCTCTCCTTGTAACTCCCCTACCCAACCTGTTTCAGTGGCTTCATATTGCCTCTAGGATAAGATATAAACCTTCACAACCTGGCCCCAACCTAACTGTCCAGCCTCATAGACATTACTCTTCTCCCCATGCCATGATCCAGCCAAAATGACCTCTCTGTTCTTCAGTCACAGCAGTCCATCTCTTGGTTCCTTCTCTCTAGACTGGCTGTCCTCTATGCCTAGAATATACTCCTTCCTCACCTTGTTCACATAGACTTCCTCTCCTTCAAGATGGAGCTCAAGTACCTCTACAATAAAAAGCCTTTCCTCATCTTCCCACTGCTAGCTCCCTTCCTCCCCAAGCCACCTTGTATTTAACTGTTTTATTCTTATTCTTTATATTTATTTTGTCTTTGGTTTTATAGACACTTGATGTCTCCTGCATTAGATTATAAACTCCATGTGAGCAGAAATTATTTCATATTTGCATTTGTATTCCCAGCACCTAGCAAAGTAGCATATAGTAGTCACTTAATTTAGTAGTCACAACAATTAATGTTTGTTGATTGTCAGTCAGCAAGCATTAAAGTGCTTACCAGATACAAGGCACTGTGCTAAGCACTGAGGACATGGTGGTTGCCCTCAGGGAGCTCATATTCTAATGAGGAAGACAGCATGTAAGTAACTGTAAGATATATGTAGAATAAATGGGAGATAATCTCAGAGGGAAAGCATGGTGGTTGATTAAATGTTCATGATCAGCGTGGGTGCAGAAATAATGGTCCAG